TGTCTCTGTCTGTCTCTGTTGTCTCTGTCTGTCTGTCTGTCTCTGTTGTCTCTGTCTGTCTGTCTCTGTTGTCTCTGTCTGTCTGTCTGTCTCTGTCTGTCTGTCTGTCTGTCTCTTTCTCTTTCGTTGGTTCGTTCGTCATTCTGTTTATCTCATATATTTCTATCTATCTTGTATTTCTATCTACCTATCTCTCTGCCCACCTCTCGCTCTGGTAACGCCACGACGACCCTGGTACGACCCTGCTGCCTTCAATCGTCACTCGAGTTCCTCTTCATTAGCCAGAGAAGGTCGTTGGTCTAATGGAGGTCGTGCTCTGTGTTGAAGGGGCTAAGTCCTGATGGCTTGGGCTGGGCTATGTTATGTTAGGTTAGGTCTCGTTAGGTTAGGTTAGGTTAGGTTGGGTTTGGTTAGGTTTCGTTAGGTTAGGTTTCGTTAGGTTAGGTTCCGTTGGGTTGGGTTAGGTTAGGTTTGGTTTCGTTGGGTTTCGTTAGGTTAGGTTCCGTTGGGTTGGGTTAGGTTAGGTTTGGTTTGGTTCGTGAACTTGAACTAGGACCAAGAATAAGTTGACTCAAAACATAGACGACGACACAAACACCAAACTTCTTATCTGTTTACACACACACACACACACACACACACACACACACACACACACACACACACACACACACTCTCACACACACACACACACACACCTCTGAACTTTATGGTGATAAGTGTCCCTCTTTCATCTTTCCTTCCCTACCATCCCCCTCCTCTCTCCCTACCTCCCCCCTCCCTACCTACCTGCCCCCATCTTCCACCTATCCCTCCTTACCCACCTCATCCCTCTACGTATATCCTCCTTCCTACCCCTTTCTCTATCCCTCCTTACCAACCTCCCTCCTCCCTCCTCCCCCCTACCATCCTTCCCTCAAACTTCACGTGAAATACCTTGGCAAATTAATCTGAAACTCTAATGGGAAGTATTGAGGTGAACAAAACTTAGCTGGTGTAAAAAAATATATATATATAATAAAATGTGACGGGAAAACTTGCTATGAAAATCGTATAGAAAATTAATAATACGAATATGTGTCAAGTTAATATAGCAAGTTTATATACTGGATTTATATAGAGTGAATGGAGAGAGAGAGAGAGAGAGAGAGAGAGAGAGATCTATTCCTCAGTGAGATATTAAAGAGATTTGCTGCTCCGTTACCTACATCAGTTCTCCCAAGTGGATTTATCTCTTATCTCCCGATCTTGATTTTTCTTTCTCACTCTTTAACCTAACCTAACCTAACCTAACCTAACCTACAGGTGACCGTCAAATATCCTGCACCAAACTGTATCTTATTTTGCATTTTATTTCTTGCTCAAGCTAGTTATATTATGGAGAGAGAGGGAGAGAGAGAGAGAGTTTACATATCGCATTACACTACTTAAGGAGGACCACCACGCACACACACGCATCCCACAGACTCTACCATAACCATGCTGTACCTTGGAAGGAAATTAGCGTAGGGGAATTTAAGAATCGATTAAATTTTGTTGTTGTTTTTATTGTTGTTTAAGTGGTGTGTGTTGTACGTTGATGCGAGTGTTGCCAAACCCCGGTGACTAATAGTAGTGGGGCACCGTGGGAGTAAGGAGCATTGTGGGTGAGCTTGAAGGTGACCGCCTCATCTGGCCACACTGGTTCAACCCCTTTCCCCCTGACAGTAGCTCACACTAGGTGGCTTAATTTGCATATTTCTAACCCCCATGGCTCTCTGGGTAACACGTCTTCTGAGTAGGTTGATTTGTTACGAGACTTTTAACCCTTTGAGGACGATGGTTTAACCCTTTGACGACCTAACCTAAGTAACCTCCTAACCTAATTTAACCTAATCTTACCAGACCTAACCTACCTCTAACTTAACCTAACTAATCCCTAAAGTAAACTAACTTACCTTTAACATCACTAACTTAACCTAAACTAACTTCAGAAGCTAACTTAAATTATCTTCAGCAGGCGACTGTTCGCTCGCCTTCTGCCAGGAGTGGAGGAGAAGATTAGGTTATCCACTCCCGCCAATAGTCAACTAGCCAGTAATTGTCAGCCCTCACAGGTGATTGTCAGCCCTCACAGGTGATCGTCAGCCCTCACAGGTGATCGTCAGCCTAGAGGTGATCGTCAGCTCGAGCGAACATCCGCTGGTGTATAATTTTACCGAGAGAGAGAGAGAGAGAGGCAGGCAGGCAGGCAGGCAGGCAGGCAGGCAGATAGATCAGTCAGTCACTCAGCCAGACACTTGTCAGGGCCGGGCCAGCTGTGAGGTTCAATTTAGCTGATAAATGGAGTCAGCAACTGGTTCATCCCCCCCCCCCACGGCCTGGTAAAGCGGAGGGGGGAGGGGGTTGCACTAAGAGGGTTATATAAGGAAACATTGATTGAATAAGGAGGAATGGAAGAGGAAGAGGAGAGGAGAGGAGAGGAGAGGAGAGGGTTATATACACACACGCAGTGAAGGATTGAGTGAGAAAAGCCAGAGAAAAGTCACACCAAAACCCCACTATATAATACCTTGGCTGCCTCACGTATTGACGTTGATTTTAACACCTACCATTATTTTCCCCGCCTTCACCTCTTAAATATTCACCGGTCATAATAATTCTCGCCTTGTTGTTTCATTAATCACTAAAGTATTCTAAGGTGTTGGTCATTACTGTATGTGTTGTTTATACGACTTTAAAG